CGGCAGTGCCCGATTTCCAAATGGTCATTCCCCGCCCTGCCCCCCTATATTAGATGGGAAGACACACATCACAGCTCCAACATCCCCGGGAAAGAGAGTCAGGCTCTATTTACACCATCAAGCAGCCTGCAGCCTCTCTCACATCCCACCCAGTTCCCATCTCACATGTCCCTTTTTCCATCTCTTCTTCTGACGGGAGGTGCTGCCCCCCTGAAAAATGCCGCCCCTAGGCAAGTGCCTTGTTTGCCTTGTGGTAAATACACCCCTCCTGTGAACTAGCCTAAAGCTAGATATATACTAGTCTACCCTGGCGGCGGCCGCGGGAAAACATCCAAAACGCAAAAAACTTTCCACCACTCTTGGATCTGGTACGTACTCCTCTGGATAATGGCGCAGCGGTCTCTATTCCTGGTTTGAGCACTGTGACATCATTAAAAACTATTTTTTTTTTTTATTTGCCTAAATGTCTTACTTATTTCAAGCTATGTCCATGAACTTTGTCTGGGCGCATGGGAGGCCTCGGATCCGGCGGCGTCTGCTCACTTTGCCCAAGCAATGGTTTAGCTATCCCTGCTCTGCAAATAAATTTTCATAGAGAAAGATTAATAGACTGGTGTCGTCATGGGGATATTACATTGTGGACACATATTGAACAGGCTCAGAGACAGACACCACTTTAATGGGCCCCGTGGTGTCATGCTTTTTTGCTCAAATCACATCCGCTGATCGGCACAACATCGTGGGTGTGTTCTACACTACTATTGACCACATCCATTGCTCTGGGGAGCTCTCCTTTATTCCACATTTTGGGTAATCCTCATGGAGGGCAGATTCTGGACTCTTGTACGCTCAGCTGTTTTCATTTCTTAGAAGCCTTCCATACAGACTTTAGTAGATCCAACAGGATCTTACCAGCTGGACTTTTGGAGGGCTTAAACCAGCGGTTCTCAACCTGGGGGTCGCCTAAGACCATCGGAAAACACATATTTCCGATGGTCTTAGGAACCGAGACACCGCTGCAGTCTCCGGCGATGTGTGGGCAGGATGATACGCTGCTGTCACCTGGCCACACCTCCGGGATCGCTCAGCAGCTCCGCCTCCTCGCCGCTGATTGGCCACCGGAACTGTAGCTCAGGAGAGGCACACAGGCGGCCAATCACCGGCGAGGAGGTGGAGCTTGGAGAGGAGGAGCCGAGCGGCAGCGCGCGTACATCAAAGAAGACCGAGGGAGCTGCCGGAGCGAGTGAAGAGGAGCACTATTCCTCCCCCCACTGACACCAACGATGTGGCACTATTCCTCCCCCCACTGACACCAACCAATGGGGCACTATTCCTCCCCCCACTGACACCAACGATGGGGCACTATTCCTCCCCCCACTGACACCAACGATGGGGCACTATTCCTCCCCCCACTGACACCAACGATGGGGCACTATTCCTCCCCCAACTGACACCAACGATGGGGCACTATTCCTCCCCCCACTGACACCAACGATGGGGCACTATTTCCCCCCCCCCACTGACCCCAACGATGGGGCACTATTCTCCCCTCCACCACACTGACATCAATGATGGGGCACTATTCCTCCCACTGACACCAATGATGGGGCACTATTCCTCCCCCCACTGACACCAACGATGGGGCACTATTCCTCCCCCAACTGACACCAACGATGGGCACTATTCCTCCCCCCACTGACACCAACGATGGGGCACTATTCCTCCCCCCACTGACACCAACGATGTGGGCACTATTCCTCCCCCCACTGACACCAACGATGGGGCACTATTCCTCCCCCCCCACTGACACCAACGATGGGCACTATTCCTCCCCCCACTGACACCAACGATGGGGCACTATTCCTCCCCCCACTGACACCACGATGGGGCAGTATTCCTCCCCCCACTGACACCAATGATGGGGCACTATTCCTCCCCCACTGACACCAACGATGGGGCACTATTCCTCCCCCCACTGACACCAACGATGGGGCACTATTCCCCCCCCACTGACACCAACGATGGGGCACTATTCTCCCTTCCACCCACTGACACCAATGATGGGGCACTATCTCCTCCCACTGACACCAATGATGGGGCACTATTCCTCCCACTGACACCAATGATGGGGCACTATTCCTCCCACTGACACCAATGATGGGGCACTACTCCCCACTGACACCAGTGATGGGGCACTACTACTCCCCCCACTGACACCAGTGATGGGGCACTATTCCCCCACTGACACCAATGATGGGGCACTACTCCCCCACTGACACCAATGATGGGGCACTACTCCCCCCCACTGACACCAATGATGGGGCACTATTCCTCCCACTGACACCAATGATGTGCACTATTCCTCCCACTGACACATGATGGGCACTACTCCTCCCACTGACACCAGTGATGGAGCACTACTCCTCCCACTGACACCAGTGATGGGCACTACTCCCCCCACTGACACCAGTGATGGAGCACTACTCCCCCCACTGACACAATGATGGGGCACTACTCCCCCCACTGACACCAATGATGGGGCACTACTCCCCCCACTGACACCAATGATGGGGCACTACTCCTCCCACTGACACCAATGATGGGGCACTACTCCTCCCACTGACACCAATGATGGGGCACTACTCCTCCCACTGACACCAATGATGGGGCACTATTCCTCCCACTGACACCAATGATGGGCACTATTCCTCCCACTGACACCAGTGATGGAGCACTACTCCTCCCACTGACACCAGTGATGGGGCACTACTCCCCCCACTGACACCAGTGATGGAGCACTACTCCCCCCACTGACACCAGTGATGGGGCACTACTCCCCCCACTGACACCAATGATGGGGCACTACTCCTCCCACTGACACCAATGATGGGGCACTACTCCCCCCACTGACACCAATGATGGGGCACTACTCCTCCCACTGACACCAATGATGGGGCACTATTCCTCCCACTGACACCAACGATGGGGCACTATTCCTCCCACTGACTCCAACGATGGGCACTATTCCTCCCACTGACACCAACGATGGGCACTATTCCTCCCACTGATACCAACGATGGGGCACTATTCCTCCCACTGACACCAACGATGGGGCACTATTCCTCCCACTGACACCAACGATGGGGCACTATTCCTCCCACTGACACCAACGATGGGGCACTATTCCTCCCACTGACACCAACGATGGGGCACTATTCCTCCCACTGACACCAACGATGGGGCACTATTCCTCCCACTGACACCAACGATGGGGCACTATTCCTCCCACTGACACCAACGATGGGGCACTATTCCTCCCACTGACACCAACGATGGGGCACTATTCCTCCCACTGACACCAACGATGGGGCACTATTCCTCCCACTGACACCAACGATGGGGCACTATCCTCCCACTGACACCAGTGATGGGGCACTATTCATCCCACTGACATCAGTGATGGGGCACTATTCCTCCCACTGATACCAACGATGGGGCACTATGCATCCCACTGACATCAGTGATGGGGCACTATTCCTCCCACTGACACCAGTGGGGCACTATTCATCCCACTGACATCAGTGATGGGGCACTATTCCTCCCACTGATACCAATGATGGGACACTATTCCTCCCACTGATACCAACGATGGGGCACTATTCCTCCCACTGACACCAATGATGGGACACTATTCCTCCCACTGATACCAACAATGGGGCACTGTTCATCCCACTGACATCAGTGATGGGGCACTACTCCTTCCACTGACACCAATGACATGGCACTACTCCTCCCACTGCAAAATTACAGTTATGAAGTAGCAATGAAAATAATTTTATGGTTGGGGGTCACCACAACATGAGGAACTGTATTAAGGGGTCGCGGCATTAGAAAGGTTGAGAACCACTGGCTTAAACCTTCGTAAATTTCTTTGCTCTCTCCCCCCTCCACATGGTTTTCAATGTAGATTGACTACATTTGAATACTGTTCAGATCGTAGTACTCTTCCGCATGCCCTATCTAAGCGATATACTCTTCCGATCTCACCCCCCAGAGGACTTCTCATTGCCCTTTGTCGAAAAATGGGAAGCTGATTTGGGGAAGACCTTTACAGAATCACAAACAACTACCATGGTCTGTCTTGCCTTGGAATCATCACTTTGCACTAGGATTCAGGAGAATAACTTCAAGATCTTGATGCGGTGGTATCGCAGCCCCTCCATTCTACACAAGCGTTTTTTCAGAAAGCTACCTCAGAAAGATGCTGGCAGTGCCAGGGGGAACGGGGAACACTTCTGCATATTTTTTGGACATGCCTAGACTTACTGGAAGGAGGTCCTTCGAATACTTCATAAATTTACAGACTATCATGTTCCTGATGATCCAGCGTTCTTTCTTTTCCATGACACTAACTTACTATCCAAAATTACAAATGGTCAGTTTTTTGCGTCACCTTCTCAACCCCTCCAAATCCTGTATTTCCCTTGGATGGAGAGATCCTCAGCCTCCATCCCTCGGACTCTGGCTCCACAAGGTTGAAGAGCTAAACCTAATGGAAGATCTTGTACTGACAAAACAAAATAAACATGACATACAGTTGCAAGAAAAAGTATGTGAACCCCTTGGGATTACGTGGCGTTTTGCATGAATTTGGGCATAAAATGTGCTCTGAACGTCATCTAAGTCACAACAATAGAAGAACACAGTCTGCTGAACATAATACTACACAAAATTAGATGTTGCCATGGTTTAATTGCACATAACATGTAAACATTCACATTGCAGGGAGGAAAAAGTATGTGAACCTTTGGCCTTAATAACTGGTTGACCCTCCTTTGGCAGCAATAACCTCAACCAAACGTTTCCTGTAGTTGCAGATCAGACCTGCACAACGATCTGGAGTCATTTTGGACCACTCCTCTTCACAAAACTGTTTCAGTGTAGCAATATTCTTGGGATGTCTGGTGTGAATCGCTCTCTTAAGGTCATGCCACAGCATTTCAAATCGGTTGAAGTCAGGACTCTGACTGGGCCACTCCAGAAGGCGTATTCTGTGCTGTTGCAGCCATTGTTTTGTTGAATTACTTGTATACTTTGGGTCATTGTCCTGTTGCATCACCCATCCTCTGCGGAGCTTCAGTTGGCGGACAGATGGTCGTACGTTTTCCTGCAAAATGTCTTGATAAACTCTGGAATTCATTTTCCCATCAATGACAACAATCCGTCCAGGCCCTGAGGCAGCAAAGCAGCCCCAAACCATGATGCTCCCTCCGCCATGTTTCACAGTGGGGATGAGGTTTTGATGTTGGTGTGCTGTGCCTTTTTTTCTCCACACATAGTGTTGTGTGTTCTTCCCAAACAACTCAATCTTGGTTTCATCTGTCCACAGTATATTTTGCCAGTAGTGCTGTGGAACATCCAGGTGCTCTTTTGCAAACGTCAAACGTGCTGCAATATTCTTTTTTGGACAGGAATGGCTTCCTCCGTGGTGTCCTCCCATGTACTCCATTCTTGTTTAATGTTTTCCGTATTGTAGATGTGTCAACAAAAATGTTAGCATGTGCCAGAGATTTCTGTAGGTCTTTAGCTGACACTCTGGGGTTCTTCTTTACCTCATGCAGCATTCTGCGCTGTGCTCTTGCAGTCATTTTTTACAGGACGACCACGCCTAGGGAGAGTAGCAACAGTGCTAAACTTTTCTCCATTTTGTAGACAGTCTGTCTTACCGTGGACACATGAACATCAAGGCTTTTGGAGATACTTTTGTAACCTTAACCCTTTCCAGCTTCATGCAAGTCAACAATTCTTGATCGTAGGTCTTCTGAGAGCTCTTTTCTGCGAGGCATGGTTCACATCAGATAGTGCTTTTGAAACCAGTAAACCCAAAACAGGTGTGTATTTTTTTAAGGCAGGACAGCTGTCAGCAACACATCCAATATCATCACACTGATTGGAGTCAAGGTTGGCTCACTCCTGGCTCCAATTAGCTCTGGGAGAAGTCATTAAGCTAGGGCCTCACATACTTTTTCTCTCCTGCACAGTGAATGTTTGACATGTTATGTGCAATTAAACCATGGCAACATCTAATGTTTGTGTAGTATTATGTTCAGCAGACTGTGTTCTTCTACTGTTGTGATTTAGATGATGTTCAGAGCACATTTTATGCCCAATTCATGCAAAACTCCACGTAATCCCAAGGGGTTCACATACTTTTTCTTGCAACTGTATATACCAAAACATGGACTTTATGGAACATATTCATATTCTCAGAGGAAGGGAAGTCTCTTCCTGAGGGGGGTCATAATAGTGATTAGATATTGGAGCTCCTCTTGCGTTAGAGGCATGTGTAGTCATTTGTTACACCCCCCCCCCCCCCCCCACACACACACACACACACCTTTTTTTTTTCTTTCCTTCTTTGGGTGAAATTTGTATTTGTTGGCATCCACTGACTTCTGATCTTTGATGGAAGAAGAATGATACTGTAACAATCTTCAATATAGCAAAAACAAATGTTACATTCCATGGATATTTGACCGACACGAAAACATTTTTTTTGTAATTCTTTTATTTGTTCAAATGACATACATTAAAAGGGCGAGTAGGATGCCAACTTAGGTACAAAGAATAACAGTGCAAATGTTGAAGCATCACAATGTACATAAGACAAGTAATACTAGGAGTTGTAGGAGCCTCAGAAAAATGGACAAAAAACATAATGTGCCAGGTATAGTATAGATACTGTATATTCTCGACACAGGTGCAAGGTAGGTGTGGTTCAGATGTGGTCGGCCTCCTATAATCACAATGCAGCATTACAGCCACTCAGCATGGGATCTGGAAGTGAAGTTGACTGGAGTAGTGGTGTAGTAGTAATGTCTACTTCAGTGATTTCCAGCTTCCAGGGGAATCGGACAGGTATGGTACACACATACACTATACTGCAAAAAGTATTGGTCGGCCGGCCTTTCCACGCACATGAACTTTAATGGCCCCCCAGTCTTAATCCGTAGGGTTCAATATTGAGTTGGCCCCGCCCTTTGCAGCTATAACAGCTTCACC